CTCTGATTTTTTGAATTTCCAGATTTTCTGCACTGCTTTTTCCCCATCTTTGTGGTTTTATCAGCCTTTGGTCTTTGATGTTGGTGATGTACTGATGGGGTTTTGGTGTGGGTGTCCTTTCTGTTTGTTAATTTTCCTTCTAAGAGTCAGGACCCTCAGCTGTAGGTCTGTTGGAGTTTGCTTGAGGTCCACTCCAGACCCTGTTTGCCTGGGTATCAGCAGCGGAGGCAGCAGAAGATAGAATATTGCTGAACAGCGAGTGTTGCTGTCTGATTCTTGCTCTGGAAGCTTCATCTCAGGGGTGTACCCTGCCGTGTGAGGTGTGAGGTGTTGGTCTGCACCTAGTGGGGGATATCTCCCCCTAGGCTACTCAGGGGTCAGGTACCCACTTGAGCTGGCAGTCTGTCACGTTCTCAGACCTCAACCTCGGTGTTGGGAGATCCACTGCTCTCTTCAAAGCTGTCAGACGGGGGCGTTTACCTCTGCTGAGGTTTCTGCTGCTTTTTGTTTAGCTATGCCCTGTCCCCAGAGGAGGAGTCTACAGAGGCAGGCCGGCCTCCTTGAGCTGTGGAGGGCTCCACCCAATTCCAGCTTCCTGGTGGCTTTATTTACCTACTTAAGCCTCAAGAATGGTGGGCGCCCCTCCCACATCTCTGCTGCCATCCTGCAGTTAGATCTGAGACTGCTGTGCTAGCATGAGGGAGGCTCCCGTGGCAGTGGGACCTTCTGGGCCAGGTGTAGGATATAATCTCCTGGTATGCCTTTGCTAAGACCCTTGGTAAAGCACAGTATTAGGGGGGAGGTACCCAGTTTTCCAGGTTTGTGTGTCTCGATTTCCTTGGTAGGGAAAAGAAATTCCCTTTCCCCTTGTGCATTCCCAGGTGAGGTGATGCATTGCCCTGCTTCAGCTCTGGATGGTCATGCTGCACCCACAAACCAGAGTCAAGTGTCCGACACGACCCAGTGAGATGAACCTGGTACCTCAGTTGAAAAATGCAGAAATCACCTGTCTTCTATGTCACTCACACTGGGAGCTGGAGGCTGGAGCTGTTCCTATTTGGCCATCTTTGGCATGTCCCCCCCAGATATTTTTATATTGAAGGATTTATTCCAAGTCAATAATTAGAAAGGATAAAAAAGATTTACATGCAGTTATGCATTGCAGCACTTATCATATAAAAATTAAAAATCAAAAATATTAATTTGTTAAGTAATGGGATTTCCAAATAATGGCCTTCTATATAGCCATTAAAGTTGTGATTTAATAAATATGCATTTAATTATCAGCAGAAGTATTCACATTTAAGAACTTGTATTATTTAAAGAATTTGACACTCTACAAGACAGAGATTTTTCTCTCCAGTTAAACCTCAGAAGGTAAGGCAGCTTTTACAAAAAGTATCCTACATAATTTTAGTATAAATAATTGAAATATTTATTTAAAACTAGGATGTCATACCTCACACTGCAGAGCTCTTGTTCCCATTTAACTTTTTGGTTCTCTAACTGTGATTTTATTTCTTTGCTTCTGATAGTTCCTTTGTAGTACACAAAATTTATTTTTCATTTTTTTCAGTTTTGTTATAAGTTGTTCACAGTGATCTTTTTTAAGTTCCCGTGCTCTTTTACAAGAAGGAACTGCATCCAAGATTTTTGATAGGCTAGTTGAATCTGTCACAAGGAGGAGATAGAAATAAAACGTATTAGTACTTTTGGGATATAAAGGGCTGCATATTTTAACAATCAATAACTCACACACTGAACAAATTTATATTGATTGCCTACCATGGGGAAGGCATTATACTACGTTCTGCAGATTAAACAGAAAAACAAAACAAAACAAAACAAAACTCTGCTCTTGTTTAGCTTAAAATATAAAATAAAAAGCAAAGCCCCAGAAAAGTTACAATTGTAAATTCAGATAGATACTGTAAGAAAACAGATTGCTTAGAATAAGATCTATACTAGGCCCATGGAAAAATCCCCTGAGGAATGTATGGCTACACTGAGGAACAAATCCTGAAAAGGATGTAGTTGAGCAAGTGGGGAAGAAAAGCATTTTAGCCAGTGTGTGGCATGTGCTGAAGCTCTAGTGTAGTCTGCCTCTAGCCACAAGAGAACAACAGGTGTTGATTTTTCTTCTTAGCTAAAATAATTAAAAATAAAACACACAAAATACACTAAACAATTTTTTAGACAGTGGACATTAGGCAAAGAAGATGATAATCCCTGAAAAACAGAAAAAGAAAATGGAAAGCAAACCTCATGAATGTTTCAGCTTCCTGCCTTGACAGAGATTCCAAGACATGACACAAGAAGAAAAAACTGAAGTGGAACCTACCAGACTCTCTTTGTTGCATTGCTGAAGCTTAGAGTCTGGTAAAACCAAAGGAGACAGACAACACCAAACAGAACACTGAGGAGGAGAGAGAGATACAGAAGCGAAGCAAGAAACCCCTGGAAATCCCTCCCAGTATTTAGCAAAATAATGAAGATTGCATGTGAGCCAGAAAACTACCTAAGACCAAGCCAGGTCAGGGGACTTATAAAGTTAGTGAAAATCACACCTGCGCTTACATAGTACCAAGAAGAGTGCCTATTTTTATAGATTTGCCTGGGAAGACTCAGACTTCCCAGGAAAATGAATAGTCTGAAAGGTCTTGCCTCAGGTGTGGGGAGTTAGCTCATGCCATAAAAAGAAAAAGTAAAAAGGATCAAGCTGTTTATACGTAACTCAACTCTATTCTACAATAAAATCAAGAAGATAAGTAGAGCAATAGAAGATACTTTAAAAAACTAAATTACACTTGTAAAGATACAAGTTACAATGCTGGAGATGAAAGCTAGCTGAGTAGATATGAGCATAGATTGATTTGCCACCAAGAAAGAAAAGTTTCATAAATTTGAGACACTAGAGAACTATCAGCAAACTCCCAACACATAATATATAAGTCCCTAAAGAAGTAGGAGGCGAGACAGAAAAAAAGTTTGAGGAAAAATTGGCTAAATATATTCCAAACTTAATGAAAGCTACAATCCCACAGATCCAGGCTGGTATCTGGCTGGAAGTGAAGAAATGAAAATATAAGATTGTAATTTCTTATACCATCTATGTTATGATGTAATATTACTTGAAGGTGGGTTGTGATGAGGAAAAATCCATACACTATATATCCTAAAACAACCACTAAGACAGCAAAGCAAAGAGTTATATCTAATACCAAATAAACTTATATGACAAAAAGATATGACTAAATCATAAAGAAATATAAAACTAGATCAATAACTAAAAAACATTATACCTATATATATACATATAAAACTAAATCATAAAAATTGCTAAACTAGTCTGAAGGAAGCAGAAAAAGAATAAAACAAAGCAAAGAAGATCTGGGACTAATAGAAATCAAACAGCATGGTGACAGACAATTTTTATCATATCAATAATTACATTATAAATTAAACTGATCGAAAAACCTCTGCTCAAAGGCAGATTGTCAGAATGGATATGAAAGTAAGATCTACCTGTATAACACCTATAGGAAATCAACTTTAAATATAAAGACAAAAATTGGTTAAAGATGAAACAAGACACACCACACTAACACGTGACAAAAGAAGACTGAGGAAGAGTGGTTGTATTAATACCAAAGTACATTTCATAGCAAAAATATTACCAGCAATAAACAAGGTCATTTTATAGTGACAAAGGGTTCACTTAATCAAGAAAACATAACAGTCCTAAATATTTTTGTAGAAAATAATGTAAATCCTTCAAAATACATGATACAAAAATAGATAGAACTGCAAAAGAAATGGACAAATGCCCAAGTATAGTCTAAAATTTCTAAACCCCTTACTCAAGTAGTAGAATAAGGAGGCAGAAAGTCGGCAAGAATGTGGTAGACTTTACACCATTCTTCAGAAGTACTTAAAGACTATATTCTAGATCATATCTTAATGAAAGGATTGAGAAGGATTTAGGTCACACAAAACATGTTACCTGACCCAAAAACAATGAAATTAAAATCAATAATAAAAATGTACCTGGAACAACTCAACTATTGGAAATTAAGTAACATAACATCCAAACAACCCTGGGTTGGTTCCAAAATAATAAAAGAAAAATTAGAAGTATTTTGAACTAACTTCAAATGAAAACCCAACACGTTAGATATTGTAAAATGCATCTACAACAGCACTTAAATAAAAATTTTCAGCACTGAATGTCTACATTAGAAGACTCTCAAATAAATAACTTTGACTTTTACCTTAAGAAACTAAAGAAAAAAATAAGAAAAAAGTAAACTCAATGGAAGTAGAGGAAATGATAAATATCTGCATTGGCTTGAATGTTTTTGTCTTTGCAAATTTCATATGCTAAAATCAAATCACAGAGGTGATGTTATTAGGAGGCAGGAGTTTTGGGATGTAATTAGGTCATGAGGGCCACCCTTCATAAATGGATTAATGCTCTGATAGAAATAACCCCAGAGAGCCTCTTTATCCTTTCTGCCATGTGAGGACACAGGGCAAAAGAATGCATCAATGAATCAGGAAGTGGTACCTCTTCAGACATAAAATCTGATGATACCTTGATCTGGAACTGTGCGGCTTCCAAAATTGTGAGAATTCAATCTATGTTCTTGATAAGCTCCCAACTATAGATTTTTTAAATAATAGGCAAAGAGAACTAAAACATCAGAGATGGAACTAATAAAACACAAAAATGATAGAAAAATTGAACAACACCAAACACTTTGAGAGGATCAATAAAAGCAAAAGTCTATCTAGCCAAACTAGCTCTTGAAAAGAAAAAGCTACAGTTACTAACTCTGGAAATGAGTTAATGTGACATTATTATAGATTCTACAGATACTTAAAAATACAAGGTAATATTAAAAAATGTATGTGAATAAACATGACAACTTAGACAAAATTGACAAATTCATTGAAATGTGAAAATTACCATCTGATTTTTCACGAAACTGAAAAAAAAAAAAGCAATGGGAAAAGAATTCCCTATTTAATAAATGGTGTTGGGAAAACTGGCTGGCCACATGCAGAAAACTGAAAGCTCACCCCTTCTTTACACCTTATACAAAAATTAACTCCAGATGGATTAAAGACGTAAGCATAAAACCTAAAACCATAAAAAACCTAAAAGAAAACCTAGGCAATACCATTCAGGACATAGGCATGGGCAAGGATTTCATGACTAAACATCAAAAGCAATGGCAACAAAGCTAAATTGACAATGGGACCTAAATAAACTAAAGAGCTTTGGCACAGCAAAAGAACTAGCATCAAAATGAACAGGCAACCTTTAGGATAGTAGAAAATTTCTGCAATCTATTCATCTGACAAAGGGCTAATATCCAGAACCTATAATAACTTAAACACATTTACAAGAAAAAACAAACAACTCCATCAAAAAGTGGGCGAAGGATATTAACAGACACTTCTTCAAAGACGACATTTATGCAGCCAACAAACATAGGAAAGAAAAATTCATCATCATTGATCATTAGAGAAACGCAAATCGAAACCACAATGAGATATAATCTCATGGCAGTTAAAATTGCAATCATTAGAAAGTCAGGAAACGAGCCTGTAATCCCAACACTTTGGGAGGCCGAGACAGGCGGATCATGAGGTCAGGATATCGAGACATCTTGGCTAACACGGTGAAACCCCATTTTACTAAAAAATACAAAAAACTAGCTGGGCGAGGTGGCGGGTGCCTGTAGTCCCAGCTACTCAGGAGGCTGAGGCAGGAGACTGGCGTAAACCCGGGAGGCAGAGCTTGCAGTGAGCTGAGATCTGGCCACTGCACTCCAGCCTGGGTGACAGAGTGAGACTCTGTCTCAAAAAAAAAAAAAAAAAAAAAAAAAAAGTCAGGAAACAACAGATGCTGGAGAGGATGTGGAGAAATAGGAACACTTTTACACTGTTGGTAGGAGTGTAAATTATTTCAACCATTGTAGAAGACAGTGTGGTGATTCCTCAAGGATCTAGAACCAGAAATACCATTTGACCCCAGCCATCCCATTACTGGGTATATACCCAAAGGATTATAAATCATGCTACTATAAAGACACATGCACACGTATGTTTATTGCGGCACTATTCACAATAGCAAAGACTTGAAACCTACCCAAATATCCATCAATGATAGACTGGATAAAGAAAATGTGGCCCATATACACCATGGATACTATGCGGCCATAAAACAGGATGAGTCCATGTCCTTTGCAGGGACATGGATGAAGCTGGAAACCATCATTCTCAGCAAACTAGCACAAGAACAGATAACCAAACACTGCATGTTATCACTCATAAGTGAGAGTTGAACAATGAGAACACATGGACACGAGGAGGGGAACATCACACACCAGGACCTGTTGTGGGGTAAGGGGCTAGGGGAGGGGTAGCATTAGGAGAAGTACGTAATGTAGACGATAGGTTGATGGGTACAGAAAATCACCATGGCACATGTATACCTATATAACAAACCTGCACGTTCTGCACATGTAACCTAGAACATAAAGTATAACAATAATAATAGAAAAAAGAAAAAAATTTTAACTAGGAATAACAGTATACTGATTCTGGCAAACATTCAGAGGAAACCTTTATGTAAGAAATCCAATTCTTTTTTCCAAAATAAA